CTCTGAAGCTGAAATTTTGCTAGTGTGTCCCTCGGCCAAGAGCCATCTCAGGACCACGGTACCAACTCTCACGCACGTCGGGACCCCGCGTACGACCACACGAAAGTTTTGGCGGGAAAACTGCTATAATCGGGAACGAGAAAAGTTAGAAAGCTGAAACTTTAGGAGACTGTTCCCTATTCATGTGCGACCAAAAGTTTTCAAAATCAGCTGCCTAGAATCGCCCCGGGACTTACATACGGGCACGTGAAAGTTTTGGCAGAAAAATCGCTAATCGGAAACGAGAAAAGCTCGAAGGCTGAAACTTTAGGATAGTGTTCCCTATTCATACGCAACCAGGAGGTTTTAAATTCCACTCCTTAGAACCGCTCATATGCCACATACGAGCACATGAAAGTTTTGACGATAAAATCGCTAATTCGGGTATAAGAAAAGCGGAAAGGTTGGAATTTTAAGGGAATGTTCTTTACTCATGTGGGACTAAAGAATTTCGAATTCAACTCTTCTAGTGGGATTTTTTTCGCGCACCAGCAACTTTCTATTTGTCGGATCACTGAAGTCAGCATCTACAATTAACATGCTACGTAGCTGCACAAGGTAACATCCTGAACTTCTAGGGCCAATGTGTCACAAATCCTACTACTTTGATTCCTTGCGACCTTGCTACAGCACGAAATAATGCAGGAATGCATGATCGCGACGACTCGCCTGGTGCTTTCCAGCCTGGATTTTTGTACAGTTCCAGGAGTTCGTCTTAGATCCAGCTCACCCCACTCCGTTGCCTCCCCCACAAATCCATCCCACTCACCGCCTCACTCTCCCTCCCCCTCTCGTCCCTCCTCTCCCCCGCAATTCGTCGTCAGCCCCCTTTCCCTTCCAAGAGTTCGTCCTGGATCCGCCTATGAGCATTCCCGTGCATAACACACGTTATGTTCGGTCTGTGTTTACAGCTGAGAGATGAAACACAGACTGCATCCATACGTGTCTTGCTCATTAAACTTGGTTTGGTCTCTTATGTCTTACTCTGTTATTATAAAAACAGGATGGAAAATTAGGGTTTTTTTATTAAAATAACTTGAAACTTAGTACACGTCCGCCTTGATGGCAAGTTGATGTAAGCGCGCAAGAAACAAGTTTATGCAGTTGAAAAGCGGGTAGTCGTTAAACAACGATATTTACGCTTTCTTTCACCCTGTCGCGAATATTACATGATTTTTGTAAACCACTGAACAGTCACTGCAAATCATGTTGCAGCGATGCGTATGATGCATTGGAACAGGAAAAGAAGAAGCTGGAGAGGAAGAGAGCACGAAATCGCCTAGCCGCAACGAAATGTCGACAGAGGAAGTTGCAAAAAATTAATGATCTCGAAAAACAGGTTCGTAACAATCTTTCTGTGTTGCTTTTGGCAAACATTTCAAATTGCTGTTTTTCCGGTTACACATTATCTAATTTAGTGATTAATTTATTTCTCTTACATTAATTACTCTTTTACATGAGAAGCACGGGGGTGAAATCGAGGGAAGGAGGGCGCGCCTCTTTCAAGCCGTAGCTGTCGTACAGGGGGAGGGGGAATAAATGCGAAAATTATGTGGAAAACACAAAATGTGGCTGACGAATCGCATGTGTTAGCCAAAAAACACAAAAATTTTAGCGGAAAGGCGCAAAATCTGATTAGAGAAGCCTAGAAATCATAATCCAGAAATGTTTGATTGTGCTTTATTTGTTGTTCGGAATGCTGCTGAACTTAACTTTAGAAGCTAAAAATTAGCATTTTTAGTGATACGAGAGAGAGAGAAGTACGCCATTTAGTGTTAAGTCCAGTGAAGAAGCTGAAGACATTACCTCTTTTCCCTTCTGTTCCTTATGCGGATGCTGAACATAACAGGGAAGCAGACGAGTTCTTTCTCATTTTCCTGCAAGGATTTTTGCGCAGCCAAGAACCAAAGCAGCTACTCTATAATGTATTAGGTGGACTGTGATATCGCATCTTTTCTTCAGTTTTCGTGTTATTTCATTCAATCCTCCGATAATTTTCAGGTTGCAGAGGAGAAACAGAGAGGAAGTCGTTTGGACGAGGATATGAAACTTCTTGAAGCATCAGTCACTCATCTAAGGCAATTACTTCAGAAGCACCAAAATAATGGTTGCGTTGTTCCAAGCAAAGTGATCTCCGCATAGCGCAATGTTCACTACTCATTCCTTCTTTCTGAAGCGGTTTCGTTCCCCTTCTGAATAAGTTTGTGCTTCGTGGGAATGTAAAAAATTCCTTCTGAGGGCTGAGGTTTCTGGTCTGAAAAATTATACTATGCGTGCGCTGTAATCTGCAGAAAGCACTATCAGTAATAATTAAACAAAACTACCGCTTTACTGTCGTCTTCTTTTTTCCTGTATGTCATTGGTACTGTAAAAAGAATCAGTTGCTTCTCCACTTTACTTAACTCTTATACCTTAATGAGCTAACGTTTTACCGTTGCGCACCTCTGGACGATCGGTCATCCGGTAGTTTGTTGTCTCTACTGGCGATCCCGCCACTTGTTTCCTTTCTTTTCTGGTAAGAAATGAATTTTTCGTATTACTTCTATAAGACAGCCTGCCTTCTAGATTTTTTTTTGTAGTAGCTATCATTCATCAAAGATGGCGTGCTGGGAGCCATAATTGCCCCCTCCTTTCCTTTCTTGAATGTTGAAAGAGCTTTGATTCATCTTGTAACTATGAAAAATTTAATGGCAAATTTTAAGAAATATTTAAGTGTCATCATAAGAACTACCGAAACAGCTAGTGAGAAGCTCCGGTGTTACTGTGATGCTGCGGTACCCCGGGTATAGCGGTACTAGGTGGCACTGTTGCGAGCTGCATCTCTTTTGGACTGGGTACGTGTTTCGACTGTTTGGAGTAATAAAATAAAAAATAGGGTATATTAATAACGGAAAGAAGAGAAAGAGTAAACGAAGTAGGAAATAAAAATTACAAGATTTGTGAGAATTATTTTAATGTTTAAAAATGTTTCGGTCCATTAAGTCGTATACATTTCTTACCATTACCAGACCATCCGAGTGGTCATTATCTTCCACGCGAGTTAAGTAGAATTCTGGAAGAACCAATCTGTTTAGTTGATTTTAGTGGACTTTTAGTGACTATCACTCGGTACTCAATTTGAGCTTCCATGCTGCTCTGTTTTTTTTTTTTTTACCGCAAACATTTGTTTTCTTAGGAATTCCTTTGTGCCTTATATGTTGTTTTATTGCAAATACAATAGTATGTCCGGTGTACAGAACATTGTTGTTATAATATGCAGTGCATACGGTGTATGAAATGGTTCCCCTTGCAAAATATATCGTTTATGAATAGTTGAGTGTAGTTTCCTCATCGCTGTTAGAATTGTTAATAATAATAATTGTGATGTTTATAACTGCCAAAAATTCACGCATTTCCTATTTCCATTGAAAAATATATGTATTTCCTTCATTTTTTCGTCTCCTTTCATTCAAATTATTTTCAAAAATCAACGCTTTTTCCATGTTTCACTACGCGGCTGCTGTTGTTGGTTCACGGAAGATCTTATGTAGGTGCTATCAGACAACCAACAGCAGTTATCTGCTAGCAAACCTGTCAGTGGCTTGTGTTTTTTGAGGGTTTCATATGATGGCAGCTCGAATCTCTTGGCATGTTTCCGGTGCCAGTTTCTTTTTGCATTGCATAGCATTAGCACTAGTTTCCCATCAACATAATTGAGGAGCCACTTGTTATTTGAAAGATTACGGAATTTTGAAACTGTAATTTCTTCTGTTTTTGTCATTTCATTGTTCATCTCATTTTTTTTTTCTGTTTTCGGTTGCAAGGGTGTCAATTTTAGGGTATTTGGGACCATTTCTGGTCATTTTTTATTCATCCAACTGGAAAACATTGATGGGTGTTTGTATACGTATGTGTATTAACACATCTGTTCCTGTTAAATTAACTCATTTTGTTCCGGATTACCTTTTCAACTGGTAAATGAAACTTTTTAGCCGTTATTTAAGTTGCACTTCGATCATCAAATGGGAAAATTGTGGTGGAATTTGTGATAATATTTGAGATTGCACTTCTACAAAGCCGCTATGGCGGCAGTGATTATTTTACAAATGCTGTAGCTGAGGCGGAAGAGAGGATAAAAGCGGATTTGCGAGCGAAAAAAGAGACAGGCTTGTTCGCATCTAGTACCATCTCATGCTGCATTTCGTCTAGTACCATTTCACTTTATTTTTGTTCAGGAACAGTTGAGGTAGTGTTTTGTTGCCATATTTTTTACAGGTTTGTCATCCACTATTTGTATTCTCTAAATGATGAAATATGGGACAAATTGAACCATCTGCTTATGTTAGCAATCTTTAGCAACTTTTTTATGTAATAAATATTGTTTTTGGCGTCTTCTGTGATCACCTCTACATAAAACTTGCAGTGCATCTGCGAAAGCGTTGAAAACTTGCTTTTTTAGTCGAGAAGAAAATAAACCAGGCTGGAACGCACCAGATTCTCCGGTGCGATCACGCATTTTTAGAGCCGCACGGACATCCAGGCACATGATCACCGGTTTTTGCATGAAGTCTGGTCGTTTTCTCGGTAAATGCTCGCTTTGTGGAAAATGACAAATGCAAATTTTCTGAAAAAATGCAAATTTTGAGTTCATAGGAATTGAAAGTATTGCTCGAACGGTCGTTTTTCAAAAAATCCATGTTCATTTGCATATACTATTGCGGTTCAGGTCAGAGCTGCGAACGATTTTTTTGAAAATATGTAAATTTTCGATTCATTAAAAATTGAAAGTATTGCCCGAGCGGCCGTTTTTCAAAAAATCCATGTTCATTTGCATACACAACTGCGATTCGGATCCGAGTTGCTAACGATTTTTGGGTTCAGAAGCTGTTTGAGGCTGTGGTTGGGGAGCTAGAGAACTGAATTTAAAATTTTTAGCTCACACGTACAAAGAGAATATCTCTGCAAAGTTTTAGCTTTCTACGTTGCCTGGTTCGCAAAATCGTTTCCCGCCAACATATTTCTTTGAGGATCCCGTACGCGGGGTCTAGGTGTGTATGGGGAAAGACCTTAAAACGGGAGGGTGACACACGGGGTAGGAACACATATCCAAAGTTTCAGCCTCCCAGCTTTCCTGGTTGCTGAATTGAAAGTGGGTGACAAAATGCACTCGCTTCCCAAGCACACATTCAGACAGCCTCTCGACAATATGTTTTTGCTGGCTGTAGCAGCGCTATAGCCTCTCGACAATATGCGTTTTTGCTGGCCGCACTATAGCGCTGCACAGCAAAAACGCATTAAAAAACAGGATATTTGTTGCGGCGCTGATCCGAATTCCCGAAGTTGTTGCGCGATCTTGAACCGTTCTCGGAGACACGCAGTGATGTCCGGACGAGATGCGAAGATCCATTCCAAAAAGGTTGTGTTATGGCTTCATGGTTTTTAACAGCTTCAGAAAACACAACAATTATAATGATCTAATCGCATGTAATTTGTAGTGAACACTCTCGCTACAACCCTTTTATGTAATTTTGGTGTGGGAAGATTCGAGCAGCGAGCACCCTCCTCGCCGACAAAAAAATTCTTGCTCCTGAATATTCTCTTTCGGTAATGGTACTGCGTGGGAGTGGGGAAATGAGAAGGTCGACTGAGCAGAAATAATCAAAAATTTGAAAAGCAAAAAAATATTAGTGTACTTAACAGACACGTGCATACACATATACATATATTACAAGCACGATATACACATGAACACACACTTGTGCACTCAGATGTGCCGAGCATAAACACAGTATTATCCGTCTCGAAGTCTGTTTTGCAAAAATGCGTGAATGTTTTAATGCGAAGCTCAGCTAATATCGAAATACATTGGCTTTGTGACTGGAAGTGACGAGAAGCCGTAAAATTGCTCGCCAATTTGTAAAATTTACAATTTCG